GGGGGAGGCTGGGGGAGGCTGGGGGAGGCAGCCAGGAGAGTGACAAGCCCTCATCCGCAGTGGAGACAGGGTTTGCTTTTATTTTGACTTGGAGAAAGAGACACGTGGAAGTTCAAGATCTTCACTTTCAGTTTAGCCAGAAGGAAAATTAAAATAAGGTGCCCCCCTGAAAACAGCAGGGAGGAGGCCAGGCATCTCAACAGCAGTCTCAGCGGAGCCACTGTGGGGACCCACACCACAGCCCCCAGGGGACCCGGGGCCCACGCAGGCCAGCACCCAGCCCCCTCCTGGAACCCCCAGGGCCTAGGTGTCTGGGGAGCCATGCACAGCCCCCCAGGGAGCTCCAGTGCAGGCGGACGTAGGTCCACACAGCGCTGACAGTGGCTGCCCTTGGCCAGCTGCCCTTTCCCCTGCCCTGTCCCTCTCTCCTCCTTCCAGGGTCCCAGGGGCTGTACCCAGGGCAGAGTGAGGCAGGAGCCACTCCACTCTGTGTTGGGGAGACAGACCAGGACCCTTGGGGTTGGGAAGGGTCTTTGTGTCCAGTGGACTAGGGCTGATGTGAGGGGCCCAGGAGGAGAGCAGCGTTGGGAACCTCAGACTGTCACAATACTGTCCCCTGAGTACCTGCGGGAAACTCCCAGCTGAACCCTGGGCTGGCAGCAACCTGCCCCACCTGGCCTGGACTTCCCCTGGACTGGCACCTGCCTTCAGAGTGTCCTGACAAGTCCCTGCTGGCCTTGCTTCCCAGGCCCAGCTGACCATGCTCACCAAGCCCCTCCAGGTTGGCCTGAGCTACCTTCCGCCTGAAACACAGCAGTCGCTGGTGGATAGCAGACAGCTGGACATGCTGGGCTCTCCCTTCCAGAAGGGCATGGCAGTGCAGAGGGAGCCTGTGGACTAGCTCAGGACAACTGGCTCACGGAGGCCAGGGCGGGGGGCTCTTCCACGTGGGGTCCCAGCCCCTGGAACAAGGTCACAGAGGAACATGCCCTCCAGGGAGGACCAGGCTCTCCTGCAGGGCTGCGCAGCCACCACCAGCGCTCACCACCGAGCGCAGCGTGGAGCCAGGGCTCCCTGCCCACGTCCTGCTCCTGCGGGCTGGGCTGGCCAGGCTCTGAGGCCTGGGCTGCAGTCTGCAGGAGGGGAACAGCAGCACCCTCCTGGGCAGCTGGTCTGCACCTGCACCTCCCTGTCCCCACGCCCACAGGCACGCACAGTCACACAGAGGCGGAGCGTGGACCAGCCGCCCCAGTGGCAAAGGGACCCGGGGACCTGGCCAGGAGGAGAGCCGAGTGCTGCGTGAAGCCTGGCAGCCCCTGGCCCTTTGCTGCCTAGCCAGCCGCTGCCAGGCTCTGGGTGGGAATCGGGGTGCTCACCTCACAGCAGGCAGGGCAGGGGGACACATGCAGGGCGACGCTGGCAGGGGTGGGGGCCCGGGCAGGGAACCCCAGCTGCTCCCCCAGGACAGGACGATGGGAAAGGATCCTGGGGTCGGCGCCCCTGCCAGCGGGGAGCCTAGATGACAGCGCTCTTCTCCCCCTGGAAGGAGGCACGGGGGCCCGGCCTGGCCAGCAGCAGCTCCTTCTCGTGGACCAGGCTGTCCAGCAGGTCCTCCTGGCGGCAGTTGTGGTAGACCTTCAGGAAGGCCAGGATGGTGATGGCCAGCCAGGCCAGCCAGGACGCCCAGAGGCCAAACTGCACAGAGAGCAGGGGAGCGTCAGGGCACAGCCCACACCCACCCTGCCGAGTGTCCCACTCTGTGAGCGAGGACATGGGCGAGAGGCCTGGGGACCTCAGGCTCCTCTCTGCAGCCCCCTCCAGAGCCAAGTTTGTGAAGGAGCCTGTGGATTCCATTCTCTCCCCCAGGAGGAGGGTCCCTGGGGAGGAGCCAGGGCCACGTCCCCCCACCCCCGCAGCTGGGGCCGCTCAGCTTCAAGGAGCTTGCACACGGCAGGACCCCCTCCAGCCACTGGAATAAACTGACCTTTATCTGCTGTTTCCAAACAGTTGAAAGAGAACGATTTAATCAGCTCCAGGCCGGCTCCACGTCTACCCGATTCCCCTCCACGTCTACCCGATTCCCCACACCATCTAACTGGCACACATTAGGCCCAGAGCATCTTCCGCTGGATTTACCTGTCACTGTCTGTGACCGTTTCAGGTCACCTCAGAAAGACCCTCACCTCCAGGCTCTGCCTGGGGCCCCACTGACCACCCATGTGTCCAGCCTACAGGATGCCCAGCATGGAGCCCAGTGAGGGCTGGCAGGGCAGACAGGCAGAGTAGGAGCCTCCTGTGCACAGGGACACCTGGGACACCACACTGGCCTCCTGTTCTGCTCCAGGATGACCCTGGGCCTGGCACCACCCACCTGCACAGGGCGCTCTGAGGCCTGTCCAGAACACAGACCCCTCCCTTCAAACCCAGGACGTGACGCCCCTTTCCAGTCCCACCTCCCCACACCCCATCCAGCCACCGGGAACCTGGCCCTCCCCTCCAGGTGCACCTTCTGCTCCTGCAGGCTGCCCTGGGCCCGCTCCTCCCTGGGGGGCAGTGATGGCCCCACCCTACCTGGGCGATGGCGAACTGATCGTAGAAGGCAGAATTGTCCACACTCAGCTCCAAGTCGATGTCCTGGAGCTCCTCACAGCTAAAACGCAAGGCGTGGGTATGAGGGCGATTTCTGTGGCCGAGTGGCTGGCAGGGAGCAGGGAGCACCACCCCCAAGTGCTGAGGGCCGTCCACCCGGCGGAGGGGAGCCTCTAGGTCCCCACCCCCATCAGCACAGCAGGACTGGCTCTGGGGAGAGGAACCCCCCGCAGACCCACCCCAGCCTGGCCTGGGATAACCACTGGACACACAGAGGTCAGGCAGGCCATGTGCCCAGGTCTGCGTCACCGAGTTAGACATCAGGTTCCAGAGTTGATTTTCTTAAAGAAAGAATGTGCAGCCTCCGGAAGAGGTGACCTGAGGTCCTGCCCCCCAGGTCTGGGCCTTCTTAGGGCTGGGCAGAAGTATCCCAGAGGGATATGGGCAGTCACATGCTCCACTTTGGGCACCCTGATAGTCAGAGGCTGCCCCAGGTCACAGCCAAGTGGCCGCCCTGATCATAGAGGTCCCTGGGCGATGGCAGGGAGCCACCTGGCCCCACCAGAGCCTTCTACTCTATTCTCCACCCCCTACCCTGCCAGACCTCCAACCCCACCAGGACCCAAGCCTCCATCCCAACATTTCCTGGGGCCTCTGCCCCCCACAGGCAGCTCAGGGCAAGACCCCAGGGTCTCGGACTACATGGCCACCTTGAGCTTTCCAGGGTCCTCCAACCCCTGGTGGCTCTCCTAGCCAGGAAGGAGGGGGTGGGCTCCCAGAAGGGGCGACCAGGAGTGCACAGGTAGGGGTATGGGGGAGGGAGGGCCAAGCTGCAGACCAGGACAGGATTCAGAGGGAAGATCCCTGGGGCACAGGCAAGGCTGGGGAAGGGTCTTCCAGGGACACAGCAGGGGGCAGCATACCTGTGGGGCACAGTGCCCTTCTCAGTGACAGTGTCACACCACATGGTGAAGCCCACGCTCACAATGGTGCTGGCGATAAAGACCAGGAAGACCACGAAGGCGCTGACCAGGAGGTTCACGAAGGCATAGAAGAAGGAGCTGCAGCCAAGGACAGGAGATGGACGCAGGGGGCATTTAGCACCCCCAACATGGGCCCAGCCCTCTGGACTCCCTGGTTGGCATATGGGTCCCAGCAGGGCTCAGGGGCTGCCCTCCTTCTACAGCCATCCCTCGGCCCTAGTCCACACGCAGCCCCGAGCTGCCCATCTCACCTTCCCAAAAACCCAGAGCTGGAACCACGGGACCGTCACTGCACAGGGGAGGCAGGGCCAGCAGGAGGCAGGCACAGGGACCAGACGGCTATTCCAAGGCACAGGAGACGGTGTGCACTGGCACTCAAGGCGCCCTCCTGAGGCTGTGCAGCACAAGGCCACAGCCCAGGCCACCCCCACGGTCACCCACTACTGTGGGCCAAATGCCCACCCCAAAGTTCACCTGTGGAAATCCCAACCCATGGGGATGGCACGAGGGATGGGCCTTGGGGAGCAGACAGGCCATGGAGTGGAGTCCCAGGAACTGGGTCACTGCCTCGTAAAAGGGACTCATCGTGTGTCCACCACATGAGGACACGGCAAGAAGATGCTGGGCACTAACGAGGAAACAGGCCTCCCCAGACCCAACCTGAGAGCACCCTGGCCGCGGACATGCAGCTTCCAGGACTGGAGCAGGACACCCAGGTCAGGGTACTTTGCTTTAGCATCTCGAACAGCCTAAGACACTAAGGAGGGTCTTCTACCTTCATGGTCTCCAAAGCACTGGGGACTGGCTGTGTTAGGGACTTGCCGAAGGTGCTGACTGACCTATTTAAAGCTAAAAGGACGAGCTGTGAGGGGAACTGGCACAGGCCAGGCCAACCAGGGCCAAGCTGGGAGCCCAGGTCA